ATTTTATAGTGGCCTTTTATTGTGGCCAGCCTTAGGCACACCTGTGCAATAATCATGCTGTCTAATCAGCATCTTGATATGCCACACCTGTGAGGTGGATGGATTATCTCGGCAAAGGAGAAGTGCTCACTAACACAGATTTAGACAGATTTGTGAACAATATTTGAGAGAAATAGGCCTTTTGTGTACATAGAAAAAGTCTTAAGATCTTTGAGTTCAGCTCATAAAAAAATCGGGGCAAAAACAAAAGTGTTGCATTTATAATTTTGTTCAGTGTATAATAAAAGATATAAAAAAATATCTTGTACAGTTTAAGGCATTTAAGTCTTTTTATGTCCTTAAATTTTATACAAGTTGATGTACTCATGACATTCTTCACATTGGTTATTTTAGTAGTAGGCTATGAAAAACAAAATGGTTATTCAATTTGGGATTAAAGCATACAGAAAACGAGCAATAAACGTTCCCCATTACTAGTGGTGGATATATATCAATTCTTTCAAGAGATTCATTCATTTTCAGTTCGTTCACTAAAATGAGTCGTTCACTGATCATTTCTTCATATTACATAAATATGCCAGCAGGTGGTGAAAAAGAGTGTCTTATGTGTTATGTATTAAGTCAACGAACGTATTGTTACAAAAAAAACAGATTTGGCTTTATTGAAATATGTGCCTAATCTACTCATTAAAAAAATAAAATAAATCTAAGTGGTTCAGATGACCAAAACACAAGGTTTTCTTGCAAAATGAACATTTTAATTGTTTGGTTAAACATTTACACATTCATAAATCTGGGATTATGTTAAACGTGTTGTGGAGTTATGTTCTGAATTTTAAATATGAATATATAAACAAGTGTATATGCACAGTACCTATAACTGTGCTTTGAATCCGCTTTCTGCTGATTGCTGAACGAGATTGACTCACATGCTAATGACCGACCTACGAACGAGATGTACCAGTTCGTTCACGACCGAGATCTCTCTGTCGTTCAGACTCAAAACAGCGACTCGGTCAGCGATGGACGTATTCGTTCAGTAGATCCAACCGTTTGTGAATGAAAAGAACCAGTTGTTGAATGATATGGTGAACAGGTAGAGCTTGGCTCGTAGTTTGGCATATTTGCAGCATAGAAAGAAATTAACATTTACCATTGTAATGAAAACTGACCCACTACTGTGTTTTAGACTTAGTTTTGTGGTATATTTTGCACTTTGAACAATTTACTTGACTACTGTACAGAGTACTGAACGAGTCTGAACGATACATGACCCTTCACAGCCCGAATTGCAATCTATTTGCTGACGTGAGACCTAAGAGAAGTGCATGACATGACTCAAAAGTAATGAAGTCATTTTTATTTAAAGGGGTCATATGCTGCGATTTCAATTTTTCCTTTCTCTTTGGAGTGTTACAAGCTCTTGGTGCATAAAGAAGATCTGTAAAGTTGCAAAGACTAAAGTCTCAAATCCAAAGAGATATTCTTTATAAAAGTTAAGAGTCAGCCACGCCTACCTAAAACGGCTCGTTCGAACACGCCTCCACATGTCTACATCACTATAAGGGAAGATTTGCATAACGCCGCCCAAATGTGCATGCAAAGAAAGAAGGCGTAACTTTTATTCTCGCTGTAGTATTGTTGCCGCCGCCATGTCGTGAAGACGCTGTGTTTCGTTGTGAAAGCGAAACTACTTTGTTTGGCCTTCCAAAAGAGGACGATATCTGCTTCATCATGCCTGGAGCTGATCCGTGCTGGTTGCTGAGGAAATACAACAACTTCACGCTGTGGATCGCCGGATCGGCTTTCACTGTGGACGAAGCGGAGTCCAGCCCGGAGTCGTCACATGTGGTTGCCGCAAGCCTCCTTCGTCGAAATCGCCGGCCGTGCCGTTCTCAAGCCCTCGGCCTCTGCTCACTTAAGCCCGCCGGCCGTTCCTCACGCTAGCCCCCGGCCTCTGCTCAACTTAAAATGTACTCAAGTAAAAGTACACAATTTTTAAACTACTCAAAAAAGTACAACTACTGATAAAAACGACTTAATTACTGTAACGTGTAATTCGTTACTTCACACCCCTGGTTGTAATTAAAAAAAAGCCCAACTTGTTAAGAAAAAACCAGGATCTGGTTGAAGGCAGCATCAGTATAGTCTGGTCATGTGATCTCAACATGTCTGTCCACATGAAGTGACCCGCTCCATGTCAAATAAAAGCTCTTTAATTAGCACACTCGTATCACATTCTTCAAAAAAATATTTTACATTTTAATAAGGAAAAGCTTTGAGAATGAAACCAACCTGTTTGTTCCTCAGTCTCTTCATGTTTCAAGCTGAATACTTCTACAATCCTCAGGTCTTCACTCTCCTGTTTAATAAACGCCATCTCGCTTCACCAGGAGGATTTCTGTTTGGAAAAAATAAATCCAAACTAAATCTCTCAAGTCAGTCAAAGTGAGAGTTAATGGCCGTAAATGGCCTGAAAACACTCAAAACTAGTGCTAAATATTAATAAAATAACATGAATTATACAAACACTTAAAAAACATACTTGGAAACAAAAGTGCAGGAATTATTTCAACAATAAACGTAAAACAATGTATGCCCAAAACAATAATGCATCTACATGACCACAGTGATTAGAGCTCTTCAACTGAATCGTTTGGCGAATCGATCGGCTCAAGTGACTCTCTAGGGATTTTAAAAAGCTCTGTTTCTCTCAACACTAGTACTATAGATTTGTGTTTATGACAAACTGAGGCTGTGTTCCAGTCCAGTTTTTTGCACCCTTCCCTCGTTAACATCCCTCTGTATCATTCACTCAGATGTACATCATTGCTTACAGAGTTAGCTTTTTAACTTTATTCGCCAAGGGTGCGCAAACACACAAGGAATTTTTTTTTTTTTTTTTTTAAAGAAGCTCTTGGTACATACATACATTAGGGGTGTAACGGTTCGGTACGTACCTCGGTTCGATACGGTTTCAGTACAACAGGAAAAAAACAACAAATCTACTATGCTAGGATTCTTTACAATATCTTTACAACAGACAGTATTCTTTACCATTTTTTCCACCTAGATGTGAAAACACTAAATATTATATAAAATTATGTTATATATACAGTGTATATATATATATATATATATATAAATAATCTGCAGTACGACACGTAACGTAGCCTATTGTATTTATTTCAGTTTTTTATTTTTAATAAATTTACGAAGTTGTGACAATTCTGTTTTTGCTTTGTCAGTATGGTCTATGGAGTGTAGATTGATGTGGGAAAAAAGTAATTTAAAGAAGTTTATCATAAGGCAGCAACATAACAAAATGTAAAATAAAATGAAGGGGTATGAATATTTTCGCAAGGCACTGTATATGCTGAGTTTCAGTTCATTTTTCTGACACGCTTCACAGAAAGGAAACTCAAATGGCAGAAAGCGACATCCTATTTATTTTCTAAATTATAAATGACGGAGAGTTTTAAGTTGATTCTGCTGGTATAAGGAAACAGTTGAAGTGATCGCGCACACACACACACACACACAACACAACACATATCAGTTCCAGCATTGCTAACTTGACAGCGCAGTTGGTAATTTATCAAAATAAAATACAGTGACCCAAACATCAGTGTGCCCACCTCTGTGTCACCATTGGAACGCGACTGAAGTACAAAGCCTATAATTTAAAGTTGATTCTGCTGGTATAAGGAAACAGTTGAAGTGATTGCGCCGGCGCACACACACACACACACACACAACACAACACATATCAGTTCCAGCATTGCTAACTTGACAGCGCAGTTGGTAATTTATCAAAATAAAATACAGTGACCCAAACATCAGTGTGCCCACCTCTGTGTCACCATTGGAACGCGACTGAAGTACAAAGCCTATAATTTACATAATAAATAATAGTTTAGCATTCAGATACATCTCAAATATTATGGAATATTAGGATTTGAGCCGAATGAGAGAGGTAGGATACATGAGCACAAAGCTCCATTTCGCAAACAGTTGAGTGCACAAGTCTTTAAAGTATACTCCTTTGTCAGTCAGTGACCATGTGCTGATTCTGAACGCGTCTCTCACTGTCTAGTGGGCTTTGTTTTCAAGTGCGCAACTCATGGCATTCGCTGTTCTTCTGCTGGCGGTTATCAAACAGCGTTGAATTGCTGCGGGCGCCCCCTTCTGGACTGAGGGTGAATTGCCTGTATTCGTTGTAAGGCCTCATGCACCGAACCGAGATGTCCGTACCGTGACGGTTCGGTAGGAATACATGTATCGTTCCACCCCTATTAATTAATATTACTCAGTACTTAAGTGTATAATTACACTGTAAAAAGGACACCTTAAAATGAAGTGTAACCAAAAGATCCACTACAATAAAAATAAAAGTCTTAGCCAACATTGAAATGATTTTGGTATAGAAAAAAAAAAAGAGATTAGCAAAAGATTGGTATAGAAACAAAAATATTGTGATCTTTACTTCAGTGCTTGGTTTGTGACTCAAAATTATGTAGCAGGTCACATGTGTAGCATTTAGAAAAGCATCAATACAATAGTTAAACCAAAGTCAAAATTGACTATTTCAGCCAATGGTTGTGTGTGTTCTGAATCTAGCTTAGCAACATGCCAATGCTAAACTGTATTGGAAACCACTTTGAGTCAAGCCACCTGTGTGCCATTACCAGTTAGGATGCTGCCTTAAGAGGTGGCTGCCTATGTAGGGAGCAAACATCACTGCAGGTTCACTAGGTTTTGGAACAGAGCTGTAGTGAAGCAGAATGGAGGATGACAGGGGCTAACGGAGGCCCGACGTTGTGGTTGACTAGCTGGTTCTGTAGGCTATAAATCACGTGGTACTTTATCAAAATAAAATACAGTGAACCAAACATCAACGCGCCCGCCTCTGTGTCACCATTGGAACGCGACTGAAGTACAAAGCCTATAATTTACATAATAAATAATAGTTTAGCATTCAGATACATCTCAAATATTATGGAATATTAGGATTTGAGCCGAATGAGAGAGGTAGGATACATGAGCACAAAGCTCCATTTCGCAAACAGTTGAGTGCACAAGTCTTTAAAGTATACTCCTTTGTCAGTCAGTGACCATGTGCTGATTCTGAACGCGTCTCTCACTGTCTAGTGGGCTTTGTTTTCAAGTGCGCAACTCATGGCATTCGCTGTTCTTCTGCTGGCGGTTATCAAACAGCGTTGAATTGCTGCGGGCGCCCCCTTCTGGACTGAGGGTGAATTGCCTGTATTCGTTGTAAGGCCTCATGCACCGAACCGAGATGTCCGTAACGTGACGGTTCGGTACGAATTAGAGATTCACTGATAGTAAATTTCTCAGCCGATACCGATAGTCGATTGTTTAGCATGCTATCGGCTGATACCGATACCGATAGTTTGGTGGTTCTGCATTTTATATCTTCTTTTAAATTTAATAATAATCCATAATAATTCCATAATTCTGAACGCAATGCATATACAACTTTATTATCTCCATTTAAACAGTTGTTTCACAGTGACTGGTCTCATAAACAGAAAACACATTGCTCAAATTAACATTAACGCATTAACAAAATTTGTTAAAAGCAGACTTCTGAATTATTGAATTGCCTATTATATTGAATATTATATTTCTTTAGATGGAAACTTACCTTCTAGATTCTGCACATCTTCTCTGTCTCCAGGATGTCCGAGTTTCTTAATCTCCGCAACTATCATTTCGTGCATTTGCTGTTTCGTGTCAGCATCAAAAAACTTGTCTTTATATCGCGGGTCAAGGACCGTTGCGATACAGCACATATGGTTGGAAGTGGTGTTCCTGAACTGTTTTTGCACTGCCTCCAGTAATGCTTTTTTCATTGTTTTAACTCCGTGGTCACTGTCGGCTTCTTTGCTGAGTAACCTTTTTAGAGTCTCAAGCAGGGGTATAATGTCAGCAGCGGACGCATCTTCTTTACTAATCTCTCTGGTTATTTGTTCAAAGGGAGAGAGAAGTGTAGTTATGCTTTCCATTAGTGTCCACTGCTGCGCAGTAAGTGTGACTGGTAGTTCTTAATCTGCAGCGTATGCAGCAAGCGCTCTTTTCTGTTCCAAAAGGCTTTGCATCATATAGAAGGTGCTATTCCACCTCGTATTTACATCATGCTTAAGTCTCTTTAGTGGAAGATCGATCTGTGACTGAATGGACTGTAGACGTGAAGAAGCAAGCTGCGAGTGCTTAAAGTGGCCCACAATCTTTCGGCACATACTGACCAATTCTGTCACACTTCTCTGGCTTAATATTCCTTCGTTGACAGCCAGCTGGAGGGAATGAGCCATACAGGGCAAACTCATAATCTCACTGTCCGTCATGGCTTTAGCCATGTTCCTCGCGTTGTCGCGTACAACAGCGTGCACTCTTGATCTGTCGATTTTCCATTTGTCTAACATGTCAGTGAATGCTTGAGAGATTGCCAACGAAGTGTGAGAACCGGTAAATTCTTGTGAATGAAGCAAGACTTTGTTAAGTTTAAAATCACAATCGATCCACTGAGCAGTGAGACTAAGCATGCTCGTAGGGCTTACGTCTGAAGACCAAATATCTGTGGTGAAGCTCATCGCGGAGTCGTTATGAAGAAGCTTGTGAACGTGATCTGCCACACGGTTGTATATCTCCGGTAAGCAGACGTCTGCTAAATAACGCCGACTCGGTAAAGTGTAGCAAGGCTCAAGGTGTTTTACCAGTCGCTGAAATCCGGTGTCTTCAACTACGGAGAATGGCTGATCATCAAGCGCCATAAATTCCATTACTTTCCGAGTAATTTCACGCGCTTTCGTGCTGTCAGATTTGAAATTTCTGGTGCTGTCAAACACTTGCGCGATAGAGGGAGTCACGCTAGCCTTTGTTTGGCATTTAGCTTTTGTAGCTAAAGCGGCCTCCGCTAAATTTTTAACTGAAGTTCCACCTCGCAAAAGTTTAGCTGTGCATAGCTTACAAACTGCAGTTTTGTCGTCATTGTCACCCACTTCAAAGTAATTCCACACAAGAGACATCTTTACACACAGCACGTATTCGATGCATTCCCACCAATTTTGATTGACAGGATATATATCGGCCCTGATCATTGGATGTTTTTAAACAATCGGCCGATGGCCGATGG